CCAGCCCGGCCCGCAGCGAGCACCCTGCCCGGCTCGGGCCCGCCTCGCGCTGACGTCGGGGGGACACCGAGCTTTCCTCCCTCCGACCTGCCGCAGCCAGCTCCCCTCCTTCCCCTCTTTCCAATGCCGCGGGGCGGGGGGGGAGTCGCCAGAAAACCGCCGCGGGAGGGAGAGGGAGAGGGAGAGGGAGAGCGCCTCGGCCCCCTGCCCTGCCCTGCCCTGCCCTGCCCTGCCCGAGGAAGTGAAGTGCTTCTGTCAACAAGTGTCAGGGGCTGCGCTCAGAGATCTGGGAGGGGAAGAGGGCTTCTCGCCCATCTGGAGACAGAGGGGACCCAAGGGGTCCTCACCGACGCAGCCGCCCGCTCCCCCCTGCCGCCCGGCGCTGCCCTCCTGCAGCCTGGCACCCAGGTCACTTTTCTGGGGGAAAGCCCAGCTCTCCTGCCTTAATGAGATCATTATGCCCCAGCACCACAGTTTGCAAACTCCTAGGCTGGTTCCCCGGGGATCACCCAGGAGCCTCCGTAATGCAAAGCAGCCCCAGAGGGGTGGGGGGGGGAAGAGTTTTTCCTCTTTAAACATAACAAAATAAAAGGAGCTTTGAAAACTGAGGATTGGGCTTGCTGGTGTCCGACGAGGAGCTGAACTCAGGGCAATAAGAACTGAAGAGATGAACTGTTATTTCCTCCTTTCGACTTAACTGTAATACCTAGTGAGAGGCTCCCTCCGTGGCGCTGCGTGTGTCTGCACATGCCTCTGGTGGTGTGTACACAGCGATGTGACTCAAATCTTCCAGGCTGGTCGCGTCCCGTTCAAACTCGCAGCTCGCAGAAATCCACTTCTCAACTTAAGCACGGCCTAGCATGTCTCTCTAGCCCACTTGCTGGATTGTTTTTGAATGTATAAAGAGGGTGTTTTTTTTTGTTTCGTTTTGTTTCTTGGGGTTTTTTTGGTGGTTTTTTTTCCCCTTTCCTTTTGTTTTCTTGCAAACATGACTATTGTGCAAATAGAGCACAAGCGCCTGGTTTCCAAATTGAATCTCGCAGACTCTTGTCTCCCTAACCCTGGCACATGAACCCAGAGTAACTCCACTTAAGTGCATGTGGCTGTGCCAGATTTAGGTGGGTGTCACCAAAATCAGCATTTGGGTCCCTGCAAGGCAATTCGGTTTATTAAACAAGCCACTCCAAACCCTTTATTCTCTTTTCCCGTATTTTCCAAAATATTATTTGGGGTGAATTTGCGAATGGGCTGTCAGTCCTGGAGTTTTGATCTAAAGAACAGTTGAATGACAGGCAGAAGCAGGGTACGTTTCCAGTCACAGTGCCCCATCACTGAGCCCTCGGGTTAATTCGGAGGGTTCATTTGTCTGGAGAAAAAGGTGAGCTTGGTCCCCATAGCCTGTTCTGTTTGACTTTCCCCAAACGTTTAGCTCATTCAACATTCGCTGTGATCTGATCATCCCCTCTGCCGTGCGCCTCTCACAAAGGGGAGGTTGTGTCCACAGCTGGGTAATGAGCAAGAGCAGATGAAGTCTGGAGGAGTAAGGGTCTTGCTGTCACATAAATGTCTGTGTGGTACTAATGAGTGAATGGAGATTGAGAGGGATGTTGGATGAGAGATGACTGCCTTGAATCAGACCTCCCTTTGATGACAGGTCGGAGTCTCATCTCCTGGCCTGGGTCCCTGTTCCGCACCAAACTGAAGAGAGGCCTCTGGTCCAGTCCCGGGGCTCATGAAGCCTCTGGGGAACGGCTGGTGAGAGTCCAGCACTTTCATGCTCAGAGCCCTTGCACCAAACTGGTCTCCTCCCTGCATGGGACCTTACAACTTAATACACAAACATACACGGTCCTCTGTACTCGACCATCCCGGCTTGGAAGAAAATGATTCCTCTGTCCCAAATGTTTGCTCAGAGGCTTGCTGGAGGAGTTAGCCATTGGCTTCCCTGTCCCCATGAAAGCATCCAGGTTGCATTTGGTTTAAGACATCCTCAGGGGTTTTGACCTTGCACCTGGGCTGGGGTTGATTGTGCAGGGAAGGGCTTGGTGTCAGGCCCGTAGAGGAGAAAGTTACTTCAGGACTGACCAGCTCCCATCCTTTCCTGTTATGATGCCAGGTGGAAACCAGGCAGAACACAAATAGGCTCCAGGAACCAAGCCCGGGCTGTCTCATCGGCAAACTTTTCAGGAGTGTTAACTACCGAGGCACCTGTTTACATGTTCAAAGCGCTCTACCAGCATTGATGGGCCCACTATCACCAAGAAGGCAGGCTTAAAAAGGAAAAAAGAAGAAGTGGAATCTTTTTTTCCATTTTTTTCTGATTTTTGTTCTTTTTTTGTGAAATCCAGTAGTTTAAAATGTAGTATGTGTTGACCCTATCTAACACTAGATAAAAACGGAGGGGACAAATCGCAAAAAAAGAAACCTCATCAGAATTTTCCCCAGGGAAATGTAATTTTTTTTTTATAGTTTCAAAGTAGGAAAAAGCGGTCAGAACTTCAACCAGCTCTGATCGTAACATCTCCTGAGCAGGGAGAGAGAGGAGTACCATGAGCTCTATTTTACGGATGGGCAAACTGAGGTACTGTTGTCCCGTTGTCTTCAGTATCTGAAGGAGGGAATGCTGAGGGCCATCAGAAGTGACCCATCCTGCTATGGAGCAGCCAGGATAGACGTGCAGGCTTTTGGCTCGTAGCCCCAAGTTGGGCATGTTAAGGGATGCTGCTTTTTGGCTAACCTGATATTTGGCAACCCTAGGATTGCTTGCTTTAGGTTTTGTTACCAGAGCTTTGCCGCACTCTGCTCCACCTCTTCCACTCCTGGCTTTGGGTAAACTCTTCCTTTGGAGCGATCAGGCATGAAATTATCAGGATTAAAACTGACAGGCATCAGACTCTGTTTTCCTCTTAAAAGCAGATCAGGGAACAGCATGGCAAATATTTTGGCAGCTGTGGATAGAAATGTATCTTTAAAAGAAGATTAGGTTTACCCAGGAATCTGCTATCTCTGTCCATTATTGGACACTGGGGAGGCCATAAACTCTGTCAGACAGATATGATTTGGTCTGCTCCGTGGGTACAGTAATTTACAGTGGAGTTCTGCGAGTCTCATACCAAGTCATGAACAAGGGAAGACAAATGGAGTTGTCCTTCTCTGTACATCTTCTTTGGTGGGTGCGGTTCTGTGCCCCACCAAGCCACTTGAAACGTGGGATAAGCTGCCTGCCGGGCATCTCTTGCAACAGAGGGCTTCGGGGTTGGCAAATGAAGGCAACTTGCTTGACACCAGCTACAAGGGTTCAAGTGCTGGCAGCTAAGTCTTGGCATCTGTTGGTTAGGGGCTGAGGGTAGCTAGAGGGTAGGGCCTGAAGGCCAGTGGTTGGCCTCTGCCCTTCCCACAAGCTTTTTAATTGTTCAAGCCCAGAGGCCTTCTCTTAGCTGTGGAACATCTTGCTGTGATTATTTTGTGGGGCACTGGTGATCTGGAAGGCTATTCATTTTCAGTCCATGGGGGAGGGAGGCCAGCCGAATGCTTTGGCCTTGCCCCGCTCTTGCCTTGCTCAGTCGATAGCTATAATCATCACCAGCCTCATCTCTGAGGCTTATTAGGACCTCATCTTGCACCCCAACCAGTCTGGGGTTTTTTCAGAGGAGACTTTTGCTCCATTCAGGGTGTTAAATAATTAAACAGAGGGAATAATCGTCAGTGAAGCCCCCTTGGGCTCGCACTTCCTCAGCCCTTGTGATTGCTGATATTTTTTTGGGTGAAATATGACCTTTTTATGATCAAAGGGGATCAGAGTTCCAACGGAAAGAAAAAAAGGCCAAGAGTTTTCTTTTTCCCAATCCTAGCGGTCTGGTAAAGTTTCTTTAGACATGCAAAGATTTACACACCTTTCTGCGGGGTGCCTTAAATTACCCTCCAACTCTTAACACATTTCCATGAGCAGAGCAAGAACAGTAAGTCATTGAGAAATTAACTGGCCTTTCAATAATATCCCCTGTCGGCCTTTCAGAAGGGGAATGTCTAATGACTTTTTTGAAGCAGAGGTCAGGGTTTGCTTTTTTTAAATAAAACAATCTGTATTAATGCAATTTCCTTTTTAGCTGCAGCATTTGATTTTTTTTTAAACATTTTTTTTCTTACCCTTCCAGCCAGACAACACATCTCGAGCTAGATCCATGTATTTAATACCCCTATCTCCTTACTTTGCTAGCTCCTTCAGGCAGGACCTTCATTTTGTTTTTAACATTCATTTGTTTTAAATTATCAAAATCGGACCTTGACCAAGCCCTGGGTTAGCCAGCCATTCCCCATCTCTTCAGCAAAGCCTGTAAGCCCACGTTTGATGGGGCTGTCGCACACTCTTAAGGATAAGCATATGTGCTTTGCTGTATAGGGCTGAATTTAAGTATGTGCTTAAATGTGTTGCCGAATGGATAGCCTATTGTAAATGCAACCCCAGTGATTTCAATGAAGCAACATCAGGCCATAGCAGCTAGGGATTTGCCCCTGAGTGCAAGGTCAGGGTTTGCTAGAGGTGCTGCTTGAAATCCTCAGGATGGTCTTTCCATTGCTCTGTCTTGTTTGCTTCACTTTTTTAAGGACACACTTTTTTGTGTTAATCTCATGTTGTGCCCCCTTGGGCTTTCTTCCATAAGCTTATCCCACACTGCTATGATGAGAGTCCCAGTGTGCTTTAGAAACACA